GATGGGGCTCTGTCCTGCAGCGAGTTTCCAGGTTCCTAGCAGCTGCTGCCAGCTTTCCTGGGACAGTGTCATGGGAGCAAGGGAATGCAAGTGGGAGAAGGGAGGTGCAAGGGGGAAGTTGAGGGGGACAGAACATTAATTCCCAACATTCAATTTTTAGATGCGCCAAAATTATGTTATAGAATTAAATATTTACAACTCCACGGGCTTTGGGTTCCATGCAGTTGTATTTGCGTGTTCCAGGTTTGCATGTGACCCACAGCTGAGCTGTACGTACAATGCAGAAGAAACAGATGTGGCCTAAGGAAGGCAAATTCTATTTCAGGACAGAGTGGCCAAAATGATCAGCAGCTGCCTCTCCTTTCTGTGGGATATTGAATTGATACCTACTAAACTGGGGCTGCCTACCAAGGCCAAGACAAATAGCCAGCAAGGATTACAAGGATTACTGCTATTTCTTGTTTTATTTATAGCAACTACCACGAGTTTTGTGACCATACATTTTTGTAACTATACTTCCATCCCTTCCCCTTTCTCACAGGCACATTTACAGTTACAATCATTTGCTTTCAAGCCAGATCTTAACAAAGGCACTGATCTTTCTAACAGTTATTTGTATTAGCTTTATGCTAACTTAACAGTCTGACCAACCGTACAGCTTGCCCTACATGCATAATAAGGCCTTTAAGGCAGAGATATAGTCACAGGTGGGAAAGCTCATGCTCCAGGAAGGCTGTTTACTTCAGCATTGGCCCCTTTCAGCATGTAAGATTTTTTTGTGAGCAGTGGGCAACATAAACATACCAAAAGATTATTCTGATGCACTGTACCATAGTCATGGCCATTCTTCTAGTTCTGTACCCTGCGTTGTACCGCCCCGATGCCAGGCATGGGGCCAGACTTGCACTGGGCAGCCCCCCGTGCCTTTCCCTGGGTACCAGGGACCAGCACAGCAGGAGCTCTGCTCCTGCATCTTGCCTGTCCCCCCTCCAGTTACTGACAGTTCTTTACAGCAAAGCACAGAGTACGGGGCTACAACACTCACAAGAAGAGGGGCCACGCTGTGAATGAAAGCCCACATTGAAAGGGATAGAAGATGGCCTGTCAGTGCCATTTTGAGCAGCATCCTTCACTGTGGAGTACAACTGTCAAAGGCAAATCCTGTGTCTCCTTCTACTTACTCAGATAATTCTGAGTTTGGCAAGGGCACAAACAGCACACCTCTCTCTGCAAAGCCTTAAAGAACTTTCTCCCTAACTTCAGAATCATGAGAGTCTGGAGAATCAGAGTATTAGTTTTAGTATTATGTAAGATCAAAATGATAATAATCTGTTACTAGTTCAAAAACATGCCAACGTGATACTGTTAAAAGAAGTACTGTAAATTAAGATCCAGACAAACTATAATCTACTCCAAATTCTCTCAGCCTCCCTGGTCTCAATGAATGGCCATGTGCAGCAGTGGAGCTAAAAGGAGCTGCAGGCTCCACCTCTGGGAGGAATTGCCTATGGAATGTCCCCTCAAGTATGGCATAGCCTCCAGAGGGACCTCATCGCCATCCACCTTCGCACAGCAGGACTTAGCTTCCATAGCTGCAAAGCTAAACAGGCTCTGGGTGCTTCCACTGTCCAGCAGCTGTACTAGCTATATTCTGCTGAATAAAACCTTAATATTTTCAGCTAGAAAAAAAGTCTGCCTGAATTCACACAAACGCATAAGAAATTGGTGACCCACCAGCGTCATTGCTCACCCACTCCCAGATACAACCCCCCAGAAATGGCATTTATTCTCACCCTGTTTTAGGTGCATGAACTGTGAGGCATTATCTGTTCAGTATAGTTACTGTGTATGTTTCTGTGTATGCTGAGAAAAAACAAGCTAAAAACAAACACCGCATTTCATGGAATCAGAAGCTTACAGCCCTTCTGCCAAACAGCAGTCTAGCACAAGTTGCTAAACGCACACAAGTTAGGAGACACACAGACTGGTAGGAAAAGTCAGTATTTCAGCCTATGAGCCCACTGGGCATCAGCTAGAAATCAAAAGGTGCTTAATCCTTGCTCTCCTACATGCTTCTTGCATTAACCTGGAGTTCATGCTATTCTGAATTTCACTATACTCCCTATCTTCCCCCACAAAATGAAAATGGCAGCTGCTACATACTGAGCCCAGAGCTAGGAATATAAATGCACGGAAGTTCGGAAACTCCTCAGATACCACCACAATCATCTCCCGTGAAGTTTTGAAGAAAAGGGTCCTATCAGGCCAGTATCTTACGGCAATTCTGTTTGGGGGTGAAAGCATTAGAAATAAAAATAATGAGACAGACTTTCTAGTAATATATGCTGGCATATATCTGAAGTCCCAGGTCTTTGAATGGTAAAGAATCCAAGCTATGCAAAAGTCTGTACAAACAGCAGGCATGTACCAGATGAAGCATACTATTTTGTCAACATGAAGAAGGCACCATCAGTTATTTTTATATGTATATATATATTATATATTTAGTGTGTGTGTGTGTATGTATATATGTATATATATAGTGTGAGTGTGTATGCATGCATGTATTCTATTTCTATCTATCTATATAAAGCTTTTCAGTAAGTTTTCTGTTACCCCATGGCTCTGGGCAGAAGGACTTGTCAGCAAACTCTCTTGTGATGAACTGGTAGAAAAAACAGAACTGATGGACTGGGGGTCTTTACAGAAAGGGATAATAAAATTTACAGGATGTCCCACAAGGATCTCAGTTGTTCTGGATGTTGGGATGAGGCTTTTGTGGGCAGCCCTAGAACTCCACGTGTTCCCCAAATATTCTGAACCAGAATAAGGATAATGGTAAAGATTTTATCATCACTGCAGGTCTGATTGAGCTCCCTGGGTACCAGCTGCCAGCTGCTGTCCCCATTCCCTGCCACCTTCCACACACCTCTGATAACTCCTCCCTGTGCTTTGAAGGGAGAGAGGCCCGTCACATAAGAGCACTGCAAGAAAGATCACATATTTTGATTTCTCACTTTTCCATAGATTTTCCACAGGGCACCCTATCTCCTCCAGCTGTCTCCTCCTCACAGTGATTCTGAGCCTCTCTGCTTACCAGCTGCACTGAACAGAAAACCCCAGCTAGGCCACTAGCTGTCCTTGCAGGTCACAGACCCAGGGGATGCCCATCACCTCCTCACACTTACTTTAAGCTTCCACTGTTGGGATAACTTCAGAAGGGGAGTTTTGCCAACATTAGGTCCATTTCAAAAGATATTCTCACTAAAACACCCTAAGGAGCTAAGGCTCCATTGCATTTGGACAGCAAGACTTGGTCCATATTCTGTAATTTAAATTTAAGATTTGCCTCTTCATAATTTAAAAAGTTTACCTCAACATTGTACACGGTGTGAATATACAGTGCAACACTGAAGAGTTTTGCTTAGTGTGAGAGCAATAACTTGACTTGTGGTTTGCTGCAAATTAGGCAGTTTATCCTACTGGCTTTACAGGAGGCCAAAGGTCACTCTGTTTTGTACTCAGCACATTCAGACAGAGCAGGATACCACAAAATCAGCTCAGTTAAGGCTACACATAGTGAACAAGACACGCTCCCATTAATAGTAACAGGCCAGCCCAAGCTGTTTGAGACAGCGTCCACAAATAAGCCATACATACATTCAGCAGTGCTGACTTCTATTGCATTTTAGAATGCTCTTTTTAAAAAACTAAATGTTAACCAAATGCTTTATTTGCCTAAGCATTAGGATCCTTATCTTCTAGCATGATTCAAGAAAGGTTTCACAACAGACTGGATACTGAGCTATTTACTTCTGAGAAATAGAACTGTGACCGTAGTAACATATGAGTTTGGTTTGCATAAATTTGCCCAGCTTGTGCTTGTATCAGCGAGATCCCAGGCACGAAGCCGTTCTTTCTGGTAACAGCCTCCTCCGTCTGAGAGCAGCTTTCTGGAAATGAGGCAGGTTCCCATATTCTCCTCAGATGAATTTTATTTCTGATCTCAGGCCCAACAAAGATATAAAAAACCAGCAGTTTTCCTTACTTAAAGCTGGTTCTCTTACTTAAAGCTATATGCAGATCTGAAAAAGTAGTTTAGACATTAGCTGCTCAACTGAGTATAGGAATAACTTGATAAAAAAAATAATGGGATTAGCTTAATGAGATCATTTGACTAGTTGTTCTTCCTTTACAACAGAGAGGCATGTCTAATGGGGGGCCATACAAGACCTATATACACACCACACTGAAAGAAGTAGTCTGAATATAAGGAATGAATGCACAACTTTGCAGGAAAACAAACAAACAAACAAACAAACACACAGCCATTCAGCACTGCTCCACATCTTCTGAGGTGACTCCGGCACCTCAGCGGGTCAGGCCTTTTACAAGCTATTTTGTTTCAGACGAGCCCTCTGGAAACAGCTCCGAGCACTCTGGAGTCGGTGCTGAGCCTGCAGCGAAGGCACTGAAAGTTCAGCTAACCAGGAAGAGACTTTAATAAAGGAGCTCCTTAGCGCCCAGACATCCAACATTTCATCTGTCATTAAAGCTGCTTTAAAACCCGTGCTGACATAGCATCTTTCACAACATCCTGCAATCACAGCCTACAATCATCTTAACAAAGTCATTTGAGTTCTTGAAACATGTACATATATATGTATATTATATACACACACACACACACATGCACAAGATACGGGTAGCTAAGAACTGTGATTTATTTTCTCCCGCCTCTGCGGCTGAAAAACGTCTTTTTGGTTATTTAGGAGCTGCCGAGTGTAAACAAGGCAGCCTGCGGGAGCCTGGCGCCCTCCCGGGCCCGCTGCCGTTTGAGGCGGCAGGTTCGCTCCACAACTAAAAATAAAGTCCGCGCCGGGGAGGAAGAGTTTGATCAGAGACCGCCTCTGAAAACTCGCGCTTGTGCGTGTGTATGGGGGCTGTATTTTGTTAATCACTCGCCCCGCTAGCAAACACGGCGGCGCACGGGGACTCACCTGCCCGGCGGTGTCGTAGAGCCCCAGCAGATACTGCTTGCCCGCCACCGTGACGCTCACTGCAAGGCAGAAACAACGCGCGTCGCTACCGGGGCGCCCAGAAAGGGGGACGCCGGCGGCGGAACGACCGTTAAACGGCCGCGGGGCACCGAGGAGGAAGGAAGGGGAACGACCGTTAAACGGCCGCGCTGGAG